ACCACGCATATCCGAGGGCTGAGTTTGAACTCATTAAGATCTACGTGGACGGGAAACATCCCCTTGAAATTTCAACTTTCTAGATTTTTTGGCTCCTGAGTTAGCGGCTTACGCGCCAAAAACTTGGACGGGCCCGTACGCAAGAATCATGTTGGTAAGAGCGCACATTTTGGGGATTTGGGCCCGTACGTGCATGTAGATTAAGTGCCCAAAGTTCCAGCCCTGTAGCCTTCACGGGTTTCGAGAATAAGAATCCAGATGCACATACAGATACACAGACATACAGACAGACAAATCCTCGAAAATACGCGTTTCTGCATTGCAGAGACGCAAAAAAATGCATAAAAAGGAAGGGCAGTCAAGTCTCTGTTCATCTCGATAGCAAACTGGTCATGGCGCTCTAATAAATTATGGAACCAAATTAGTTCAGTGATCCCTCCCCAGAATGCAGAACCATCGAGGAAGTCAGGCAATGACAGGTGCTACTGATGATTTTTGTTCAAGGAAAAACATCTTTCGCTCTTTCGAAAAGAACAATGCTTAAAGAAAGCTTGAGAGAAAGTTTTATAAATTAACAAAAATTACGCTCAAGAAATATCGCTGATGGTGGTTTTCGACCAGCAGCACATGCCCACCAAAGTCCTCTGTTAGGTAACGTGTCACGGCGCCATCCATACACTAAAATTTCAAGCTGTTTTAAAGTCTGATTAGTGACAGACCTGTAAACTCATTGTACAAATTCATAAGGCGAAAATAAAGTAACAGAACCGACAAACAGTCGGTGAAAAGTCGCTGGTGTGAAGGTTCAGTTATTTATATCTGGGAAATCCAAAAATTCAATTCCAGAGTCAAGTGCTTCATAATAATCAAATAAACAGCAGTGCGCACCAGGGCAACCGGTATGATCAAGCGTCTTGCGCAGTTCCGTATGCCGCACGTTTGCCGTTAAAAATATTCACTACTTTAGAGTCTGGAGCGCGAATCTAAATGTTGCCTGATCCCTACGCTGCAAAACTCCTCACCAGAAATTCATGTGTCTGTATGTGACGCCTCGGCGTATGTGAGGGACGAATCTAAACTTATAAGACTGCACAAGAACAGAAGGCATCTTCCAGAAATCTTAAGTATTATGTCATGCCTGATTTCTGAATTAAAAATTTCCGTGTGAAATTTTGCGTGTCCATACGTGCGATTTGAGAAAATATGAAAGTTGAATTTGAAATCAAAAGACTGCATAATAACGAGATGTATCATGCTAAACTCCCAGTTTTCTACCTCTTCCGATTCCACGGGCAAAAAACTTCCTGCCAATATGCCCACGTTCTCCTAATGTGAGAACTAGATGTATCTGGAAGCTGAGTTCATATTTATATGAGCACAGGCAGGGAACTTCCTTATGAAATATCAACTTTCTTTCTTGTCCTGCTTTTGAGTCAGAAAATTACCTGCCTAAACTTCGACGGGTCTGTACAGGAGTCTTGGGCGTTAGTGGAAACTAAATTCAGGTTTGTGAGGCCCGCATAAACAAAAACCTTCCTTTCAAACTTTCAGTTTCTTAGAGTTAGATACTTTCGGATAAGAAATCCGTACCAGTATGTGAGATCTAGGCGCGCGTGAAAACTGAATTTGAATATGCAAGGTCACACGCAGGCGAAGAACATAATCCTAAAATTTTAGCCTCCTAGCTTTCCCGGTTCTTGAGTTGAAAACCCGCCACAAAATGCATTTGGACGCGTACACGCACATATATATGTATACATACTCACACAGGCTCTGATAATACGCGTTTTGTACACAGCATAAAAAGGACAGAAATAAGGAGAAGCTATGCAACAACCCCATAATTCCAACAATGTTGTAAAATGAGCCTACGGCGGCACACTGCGCTCCAGCTTATCAGAAAAGAAGTGAAAGCCCACTAAGTCGGCAATGAAATAATTTTTCAAAATCAACATTCCGTTACGGGAAAATTTACGACGACAGTTCTACACAAAAAAAATCAAGCCACCTGAGCAGCTGGAGTAGTATTTATAAAATCTTGAAGTGAGGGATGGGTGTCTGGCTAATAAAGGGAGAGCATACGCTGCAAGACGAATGCTCGAACATGGCACAACTTTACACACACTCAGTCGAACACAGGTTTTGAATAACGAAAATATATGATTTATAGACTAAAACATCTTTTTCAAGGCTCTGAAAATTATTCCGAAGCAGTTTTTTTGATCGAATATTAGTACAGTGAATTTTTTGCTATGTTGCGCAATAAAATAACACTCATCTTTTCCACTCGTCTTTACCTTTCCACTCATCTTTTTTGGCAATAAATCCTAGGTAAAACTGTTTATCCAATTTTACCCGTTTCCAGAAAACCGTACCAGCAGAAAAAAAAAAATAAGTTCGGCAGCTCACATGTGTATTTTTGCCTTCCTTCAAGCACATTTCAATCAC